TCCAGAGACCTTGTACCAATTTATATTCCCACAAGCTGATTGTATATGTGCCCTTTTCATTGTATTCTTGCAAGCGCTGTTATAATCTTTTAAAGATTACAATCTACAATCTGTACTAATTTGATAAGTGAAAAGTAATGTCACATTTAAATTGGTAATTCTTAGTGTATATCATCCTGTCTTAGTCTCTGAAGGAAATTTGGTCACGAAATAGTTTTACTTCAGGGGAGAAAACTTATTTCCTGCAAGTTCACACCATTGCCGTAGATCCGAGTTTGAAAGAAATGTTTATTGAGGGCTTACTGGGTGCCAATCTCTGAGATAGATGCTAAGATTACAGAGATGACCTCACCATGTCTGTCTGCAAGGGTCTTAGGACCAGGCGGGATTAAGTCATCAGTAGATAGAGGGTGAGATAAGGTGAGACAAGGTGATCACACTTACGGGATCCCAGGAGAAGTGAACACTCTGAGCAGGCTGTGTGTGTGTGTGTGTGTGTGTGTGTGTGTGTGTGTGGTGGGGGGTGGGGGGTGGGGTGCAGTGTGTGCTGAAGACTTGCTTGATATAAACTGAATCCAATTGTAGAAAGAATGCCTTGGTCTTTCTTTATGGAGAGAGTGATTAAATTTTGGAATAGAACATTAAGGAATATTCATTTGCTTGAATATCTCAAGAATAGAAAAACAACTTTTGGTTTAAGATAGCTTAACTTTGTGGCATAATGGGAAATATATATGTTTGTCTGTGGTTCTTGGCACAGCTCCTAAGCCCTTGGAATTTCGTGAGTGATTAGTGTCAGAGGAATATCTTTTTTATTCATAACAAGCCCCTTCCAATTATAACAGAGTTTATGCTAATGTGGCGACCCGTCTCAGGGAAGGAGGATGTCCCTAGACAGCTTTAAAATGGGAACTGGTCCTCAGAAAGACTAAGCCAAGATTAGAGGGCTGGGATGGTCAGCCCCACCCACCCCCTGATCTCTGGGGAAGAGAGAGGGGCTGGAGGTTGAATCCCGTCGCCAATGACCAATGATTTAATCAATCATTCCTATGAAATGAAACCTCCATAAAACCCCCTAAAAAATGTGATTTGGAGAGTTTCCCAGTTGGTGAACACATCGAGGTGTTGGGATGGTAAGGTACCCAGAGAGGGCATGGAATTCAAGGACCTTTCACCACCATATGTAACCTTGTGCACCTCTTCCTTTTGGCTGCTCCTGAGTTTTATCCTTTATAGTAAACCAGCAACAGCAAAACACTGTCCTGAGCTCTGGGAGTCATTCCAGCAAATTGTCGTATGTGAGGAGGGGGCTGTGGGAACCTCTGATTTATAGGCGGTTGGTGAGAAGTGTGGGTGGTCTGGACTTGATTGGCCTCTGAAATGGGGGCAGTCTTGGGGGACTGAGCCATTAACTCGTGCGGTCTGCGATAAGTTCTGATAGCCTTATAATCGGATTAAATTGTTGGACACACAGCTGATGTTGGAGTGTAACAGAGGGAATAGCCTAAAAAAAGGATAAAAATGTTTTGTCTTTTTAAAGCCTCCCCCACTCTTTTAGAAATTAAAACCTACATCCCTGCCTCAGGCCAGTGCTTATTATAACCCACATACATGCTGGAGAATGAGAAAAAGTGGCTGTTGGACGAAATCTTAAATTATTATACTGTCTGACAACTAGAATTTTTGGTCAGAGGTCAGGTCAATGGGACAGGATCGCTTATGTACAATCTTAAAAGCCTGGAATAAAGTCAATGGCACAAGAGAGACTTCGACTGGCAGCTGGCGGGCTAGTCGAGACCCTTTGTCTCCGGCCCAGGCAAGCGCCCGCAGGATGGTCCTGGCCGCCGCTCCGGCTCCCCCCGTCCGCCTTTCGGTCTTGCTCTCAGATGCCTCGTCCTTCCGTGGTTAGCTGGTGTTTGGGAACGAGCTTTGGCCTCCATGCTCGCCTGATGTGCTCTCTCTCTCTGTACGTACATGTGTGTGTGTGTATATCCATATATATATAAAATATCCGTACGTATATATCCGTATATTCTCTCCATGTGGACGCCTGTTCCCTCGCGGTATGTGGATACAGCCATGGACGTGCGCACACACGCACATTCGTATGTTTGAATGCACAGACACAGCGAGGCAGAAACTCCTACGCTAGTTCTATTTTAAGTTTCATACACTTAACTTTTACTTGGCAAATGCCTACGTGGATTCTTGTGAAGGTCTCAAGTCGACAGACACCCTTATCAGTGCCATCCTATGGTTCCACCACTCTCTCGCCCTTATTTCACTTCTTTCTCTGGGTGCTGCTTGTGATGGAAAATCATATAGTCTTAATTTAGTACTTACAAGATGTGTAAGGAGTATTTCCACAAAGCCGAGCCCATTATGTATAGTACTGCCCCCTTCTCCTGTGGTTTTCTCTTCCTTTCCTTACCTCCTCCATCAGAAAACGCTGTGGTTTTTATACCTTCACTCTAAATCAATGTCACCGGGGCCTGGATTTTGTCAGAATGCAGACAGGCTGCTCACCAGCAGGGGGCGCACTAAACCTTTCGGGCTCTTCGTGTTTAGAGAAAACTGGAATCTTGCTGGATAATGTATTTCACAAGTTGTGTATGTCTAGTAGAATATGATGGAAAACTTAATTTCATACAATATTAATTTAAGTTCATTTTTTCAATAATTTAAAACTTGTTATTTTCCTCTAATAAGTGTAATTAGCATAGCATTTTTTACTGCAAATAATGCTTTACACCAAAATGCTGACAATGATCAGATTAGGATGAGTGGCTTCATTATACGTAATATTAATATTTTGGGAAGTAATTAGACCTGGCATTTGGAGGTGCTGTGGACAATTCTTAGGAATCCAGAGAATTTGCTATTCTAAACTGGGTCCTGTGGTTATCTAAGCGTGAGAGCAGATGACATCAATCTGTCTCATTGAGCTAGGAAATCTAACTGAACTTTTCAGACTTCCCTGCTTTCTATTAGAACCACGTTGCAAAATTTCCACTGATATGTGGCTTTGAAAGCTTAAATTTATCAGGACTTGTAAAAAGAAATTGGATGGAAGATACTTGGAGAGCCATGGATCGTGCCACCAAAGAGCTGGCAGACTGGCTCCCATTCCTGTGGTTGCAGTGCCCTTATGTGGCGAAATGCATCCAGCCTTTTTGGCTGAGGTCAGGCCAGGACTCCCCATCACCTAGACTTCCCCAAAAGGGAGCTCAGTCACACTGCATCGGAGGTCATATTCTGCCAGAAGTTTAGCCACATGCTATGGTTGCCTCGGAAGTTGTTTTACTAAGTCTTGGCTAGGAGATGTAGATTCTATTCATTACACAATGTGTGTCCCTGAAACATCCCCTTCACCCAGGAAGGTTCACTGAAAGATCAACTCACAATTAAGACAGATTGATAAGATAAAGATTTATTTACCATGCTCATGGGGAGAATCACACAGTGATTACTCCATATCCCAATGGGTCCAGAAATTTATATACCCTCCTTTTAGAGGCGAGGGGAGATGAGGAATATAGATAATTCTGTTTAGGGGTAATAAATGGTTGCTAGGGCAGATGAATAGATACTTGGGAGAGTGAATGGATGGGGGAAACAGATTAACTTATAAATTAACCTGAGAGACAGTTACTATGTTTAAAATGATTTGGGCTAGGTCTGGTTGTTTCTTGATCTTCTTTCCTTAATATATTGAGATAACAGGGAAGGAAACGGAAGTCAGTTGTTCTTTTTGATGAGTCTGCTTGGTTTATGCAGATAGAGGGAAAGCCTCTTCCAAGGCCTGTTTATCTCTAAGAGCCTTTAATTCAAAATACTAGTTATACCAAGGAGGCATATTTTGGGGCGAAAATTCTTGAGCTCCTTCAAGGGCATGCACAGAGGCCTCTTAACTTCAGTCTGTAGCTATGGTCATACCCAGTAGGAGATTTCTCAGTTTTGAAGGCCCAGTTAGGTACTGGGGAACCTTTTGTGCATTTGCTAAATCACCCATATAGGCCCTGGGTGGGTGGGTGGCGGGGAGTTAGTTTACCGCTGAAAGAGGGCCAGAGCGTGACTTGGACATCAGCAGCAGACAGGGAAACATTTTGGTGTTAGTTCCTACTCCTGCCCTGCTCGGCCTCCTGCAGAAAGAGATTTCAGTCCTGCCCAAGTGAAGCAACCAGGTGAGCAGGAATAGATTTCCTCATTTCCTGACTCAGAGACTGATTTCTTACCAAATCTGTTAGACTTACGGTCTCCAAAACCCTTACCCCGGTTGAGATTAGGAAACTATTTTCCAAGAGACATTCTTTGCATCTGATTATAGATACTTCTGTTGACTTCTGGGGCCTGTAAGTATGTGCTTCCCCCCAACAGAGGGAATGGCCTGAAAAAGGGTAAAAATGTTTTCTGTCTCTTTAAAACTTAGCCCACTCTTTTGGGGAATGAAAACCTGCATCCCTGCCTCAGGCTAGTGGTTAGGAGGGGCAGGGGAGGGTCCTTTGTTCTTTGTACCCCAAGAGATGGCTTAATGGAATTGGGGGTCGAGGGGGAGGTCCGGGAGTATTGAATGTATGATTCATAACTGACTTCCCTTGGGCGATGTCCCGCTCATCAAAGAACGTTCAGATTTTAACTTGGCTTCTGTTGTAACTTAACTGAAAGGAAGGAGTGGTCTTGTCTTGTAAGCTATACATTTCTCATTGTCTATCAACAAATTGGTTTTCTAGTAGATGTATTATTCTCATGCCAAACTGTGTCCTATGGAAGGTCTGTTCTCACAGTGCTCACAGAATCAGGGTTTTAAGACTGTGGGTTGAGAGGTGGACCCGAACTCATCAACACGCTGCCTCCATTTGAGTCCTTTTAGGAGATATTTCTTGGTGTCTTCTTGTGCTGCTTTCTTTTGCTAGTTTCATAGTTAGTACCGGCCAAAGAACAAACTGACTTAAAGAGTTATGAAGCCTTAATTTAAAAGATAACTTTCCCTTTTCTCTTAGGATACCTGGGATGAACTTCTAATTGGTAGTGCAGAGATGAAAAAGATAATGGCTTGTCCCAGGTAAGGATTCTTGCTGCACTCGACCTCTGGGCTGTGGCGCACCTTGGTTCTTAACCATTGCCTAACCCTTAGTTATTGCATGACAGGTGCATTTTGACCACCGTGGACCCAGATACTGGAGTCATAGACAGGAAGGAGCCACTGGAAACCTTGAAGAGGTAGAATACCAATGTGTCCAGTGTATTTTTAATATTATCTCCACCCAGACTGCCTGTGGTTAGGTGCTAGGTATGCCTTAAGGTGGACATGGCCTTTCTATCCAGAGCAACTTCCACTGTGCCTTCTCATTGTTTGTGTCTATCAGTTAATGTAAGTGAGTACTTGTTGCTTCTTCTTTTTTTCTGGATGGATCCTCCAGTACTTTTGATAAATTTTTAATTGTATAATACTATATTTTGAAATTTTAATATCTCTTGTATCAATTTTTGGTATTTGTGCATTTATTTCAAATTAAGACCTTAAATACTTTATTTAACTGTTTATTGCAATTCAAATTCCTTTATCAGAATCTATATCAAGGAATATGAAAATGATTGAAATTGCATAATGAAATATTAGAAAAAATGAATATAATGGGTTGTCAGAGAGGAGGTTATTTCATGAAACCTTAGATTTTCAATTCTGTTTTGTTTTTTGATTAAGATGCAGTGAAGTTAATTTTTTTTCTTTAGACAGGTCATTGGAAAAAATTAACTTTTTCAATAGTCCAGACCCACCTGCCAACTGTATCTCTGTCTTAATTTTTGTTTGCCAAGGAACCCTCAGCTTTGGATTTATACACTTGGAGGAGGTTGAAAGAATAGTGCTTAAATGCATTAAACAGAAGGTTTGGAGACTTCAGGGACGTTCCATTTTGCGATTCATGAGCATTTGTTTCAATGAGTTGTGAAGTTGAAAGTACCCATGGAGACAAAGTACTTCTTTTATACTTACACAGATACATGTTTTCTTTTTGTCCCTAAACTGAAGCCGTAGAAAAATTGTTTAGATTCTCAGAATACTTCTAGAGAAACTAGGATTATTTGCAGTTGGACTAATTGTCCACAGACTTTTGTCAACATTATACAAAAGGCTTGCTATTTATTTATAAATAACCTGGAATGAAAACTTGAATTCTATTGAGAGCACTTAGATTGTTTTTTGTGCTCCATAATGAATTTTTGTACCTGATGGTGAATTTTTGCTTGTTCCAGCTACCGCCTGTGTGATCCTTCTGAGAAGCCATTATACAAGTCATCCCCACTTTTTGGGATCTATTATTCAGTGGAAAAAATTGGAAACCTGAGAGTTGGTGACCCCGTGTATCGGATGGTGTAGTGATGGATCCGCTACAGTGATATGGTAAATCGTCAGCTTTGCTTCTGGATTACAGTGTCTTGAAGCCATTGCCACCTTTCCTTGTGTTAAGATGTTTTCTGTGTTATGCTGCTTTAATTCTTGGGAGAATGAGCAGTTTTGTATTCTGACCTTTGGAGTTGGACAATGCCCCTTATTTCTATTCCCCTCAGTGATCCGTGTGCTACCACCAAGCCTTCTCCACCCCTCTTCCCCATTCAGCTACAAAATGCTGGTGGAAGAGCCCCAGCAAAAAGATAGTTATGTGTTCCCAGCCCATTAAGGAATAAAGCAATGAAGGTGAGCGATTATCAAGGGTTATACATTTATTTATTTTTATGTCTTGGATAGAAAAGTGAAGGAGAAATATTTAAATTATTCAAAATCAATTTGGAAAAGTGTTTAAATCAATGTTTTAAAATTTTATTTATTTTTTTTTTTTTATTTTTTCGAGACAGGGTCTCACTTTTTTGCCCAGGCATGAGTGCAGTGGCATGATCATGGCTCACTGCAACCTCGAATTCCTGGGCTCAAGTGATCCTCCTGCTTCAGCATCCCGAGGAGGTAGGACTAGAGATGTGCACCACCATGCCCAACTAATTTCTCTATTTTTTGTAGAGACAGTCTCACTCTTGCTCAGGTTGGTCTCCAACTTCTGGCCTCAAGTGATCCTCCCACCTCAGCCTCCCAAAGTACTAGGATTACAAGTGTGAGGCACTTCACCTAGCCTAAATCCAATGATTTTTATCAAATGTATTTTTTAAGGGTAATTCTGGTTTTAAAAAATCAGCACATTAAGGTGACGAGATCCTAAATCATCATTTAGAAAATAATGTTCTCACATTTATTTCATTGGGCCAGATAAAATCCTGACTCCTGGAGGCAAAAGCCTAAACCCCAAATTAAAGGAATGAGAAAGTCAGAAGACCTCAAGTTGCAGTTTTTAAGCAACTTCTCTCATAAAATCTATGAATCCGTTCTTACAGTCATCTCATCTCTAAAACTCCTGACTGTCCTTCCCTCTAATTCTGGCCTGAGCTTGCACTTATAGTCACCTGTTCTTGCAGCCTGGACACCCACAGCCCAACTATCCATAAGGACAATGTAGGATAGTGGCTCAGACAGTCCGATCTAGCATCAGATAGACTTGCGTTTGTAATCCCAGCATCTTCCTAACCTGGTTGAGTTGTTTAACCTCTCTAAATCTCAGTACCCTGCAAAGTGGTAATAATGGTAATACCAAAACAACCAATAAAAGTTATTTTGAGTATTAATTTATATAAAGTTGAAGCATCACAGCAGAAACATTGAAAGTGCTCAATACACATTAGCCATAATGTTTATTGTCATCACTGCATCATGGCTCAGTCTTAGGTGCCAGAGTGGATATAAAAATGAGACAGGCTTTGCCTTTGAGGTGGACAAAAAAGAAATAAACTTCCATTGGCTACTATGATGACTAGGTATTTACATAACCACAACCTTACTTCATCAGTTCTAAGATGCCTATTTTAACATCTCTGAAATCAGACTGCTTCTTTTAATATTCAGGATGCCTTTTAAAAAAATATTAGTGGTGTATAAAATAATGGTGCTTCTTATGATTGATGTTTCTTGGATTTGATGAGATACAGTAAGTACTAGAGAGAAAATTTTGAAGCTCCTAAGTGCCTGCTATTTCTAAAAGCCCTGGGAGAGGGGAGATCCAAGCCTGAACCATTAGCTTGAGTGAAACTGATCCTGTGTCCTGTTGTTTCAGCCACAATTGACTGGGCCCAGATCCGCGCTTGAGCCCAGGGCTTTCATGTGCTGTCTGCATTTGAGGGGGGCCAGTGGCCTTTGAGATACCTTAACAATTAGGGGTTCTCCTTATCACTTGGTCGCAAAGCTACCCAGTGAGATCCTGTTTTGCAGTGGATAGAGGCAGGGAGCATCTGTGGTTCCCTCAGACTCAGACAATTTCCAGTTGTCTCCCAGAAGGCCTTGTGTATTAAAGAACCTAAGAATTGTTATGTCTTCTTGTTGAACTGTACCCTTCACCATTATATAGTGACTCTCTTTGTCTTTCATTACTTTTGTTGATTTAAAGACTAAGTTATCTGAAATCAAAACTGCCACGCCAGCCTTCTTTTGGCTTCTGCTTGCTTGGAATATTGATTTCCACCCCTTTACCTTGAATCTAAACACATCCTTGCTGGTTAGATGTGTTTCCTGAAGACAGCAGATACTTGACTTCTATTTTTTTATCCATTTGGCCAGCCTATGTCTCTTGAGTGGAGAGTTCAAGCCATTCACATTTATTGAGAGAACTGATAGGTGGGGAAAATTTCTGTTCATCCTGTTGGGTTGAACTTTGTTGCTTTGTTTTCTCTCTTGAGCCATTATGGAGCTGGCCTTTGATCTTTAGCTTTTGAGTGGTTTTACATTCCTGAGTGTTTATTGTGTTGATCCGCGTGCAATTCTGTTTTGAGTATTTCTTGGAGGGCTGGTCTTGTCTTGGTGAATTCCCTCAATCTTTGCTTATCTGAGAGTGTCTTTATTTCTCCTTCATATACAAAACTTAGTTTTGCAGGGTACAAGATTCTAGGCTGGGCATTATTCTGTTTCAGAAGAGTGAGAATGGGACTCCAGTCTCTTCTTGCTTGTAAGGTTTCAGGCGAGAAGGCTGGCATTATTCAGATGGGCTTTCCTTTGTATGTTACTTGTTTCTTTCACCTTACAGCTCATAGGAGGGCCTCTTTGGTGATTATTTTGGTCAGTCTGATGACTGCATGTCGTGGTGTCTTCCTGTTTGCATTGAATCTCCCAGGGGTCCTTTGAGCTTCTTGTACCTGGATATCTAGGTTTTTAGCAAGGCTTAGGAAGTTTTCCTTTATTATATCTTCGAATAGCTTATCCAACCCTTGCGTGTTTTCTTCTTCACTTTCAGGTATGTCCATAACTCTCAAGTTGGGTTTCTTCACATAATACTACATTTCTTGTAGGCTTTGCTCTTTTGTCTTATTTCTCTGCTCTATCTCTGTGACTGACTTATTTAATTGGAAGGTGTTATCTTCAATCCCTGAGATTCTTGTTTGATCTATCCTGTTCTTGAGGCTTCCCACTGTGTTTTGTAGTTCCTTGAATAAATTCTTCATTTCCAGGAGTTCAGTTTGATTTTTCTTTAATATATCAATTTCTTGAGTGAATTTTTCTTCCAAGTCCTGGATGTGTGTGTGTGTGTGTGTGTGTGTGTGTGTGTGTGTGTGTGGTTTCTTTGTGTTAGGTGTCCATTTTCTTTTGCATATCATTGAATTTTCTTACAATCCATGTTCAAAATTCTTCTGCCATTTCAGTGTTCTGATTTTGGTTGGTATGCATTGACAGCGAGCCAGTGTTCCCTTT